TTCATGGCAGCCCCTCCCATCACAGGCCCAGAGGCCTAGGAGAAAATGTTTTCATGGGCCAGGCCCAGGGTCCCCATGCTGTGTGCGACCTAGGGACTTGGTGCCCTGTGTCCCAGCTGCTCCAGCCATGGCTGAAAGGGGGCAATGTAGAGCTCAGGCTGTGGCTTCAGAGGGCGAAAGCTCCAATCTTTGGCAGCTTCCACGTGGTGTTGAGCCTGCCTCTGCCTAGGTAAGTTCCCAAGATGGAGGAGGGGTGAGGGGTGAGGTGCGATTGCCCCAACCCCCTCACCTCCCACAGCACCTGCTCCAGGACCATGAACAATAGCTGATGGCTCCATGGCCTTTGCTGGCTCCAGTTCAGCTTCCCTGGGCATCTAAACGTCAGCTGCCCTGGGGTAGGAGGACGGGCTGAGCAAACAGAAGTGTGAGGCTGTCTAGAGTCCCACCCTTGAATCAGCAGACCACGACCTGTGGTTCCACCTTGTGCAAATTTGAGAGGAACTGCATAAAACACTGGAGAAATCCAAGAGAGGAAGTCCACCAGGGCACCAGCTTCCTCCATGATCACAGAGTAAGCTGGTGTTAGAGCCTGGACCTAGAGCTCTGTTGGGTGGGAAACAGGTGGGTGCTGCCTCCAAGCCGGGGAAGGGCTCCCTCTCACCTCTATATACCCCTCCTTTCTTGGCTCAGCTGCCTTGTGGGGGATGCAGGGTGGGGAGGGCAGAGATCTGGGCCTGGGAGGGGGACAGTACACAATCTTGTGGCTGCTGCCCTTCCCTCAGGCCTTGTCCACCTCTGACTGTGGGTCTCTGGGAGGAACAGATGGGCATGGCCTGGCAGGTGACCCAACTGCTGCTTCTGGCTTTGGTGACCGCTGCGGGGAGCGCCCAGCCCAGGAGTATGTGGGCCAGGATGGGCCTGCTGAATGTCTACATGGACGCCATGCACCACAAGGCACAGCCCGGCCCCGAGGACAACCTGTATGGCCAGGTGAGGATAAAGTGGGCTCTGCGGTGGGGGAGAGGGCTGCCTCTGATAGACAAACGTTAGTGGGGTGGAGAAGCCAGCTGTGGGAGGTGATGAAGGCAGGAGGATGGCTGCTGTGATCCTGGAGGGTCTCCCCACCAGAGGCCACCAAACCTACAATAATAAAGAGACCACATACCTAACAGCCACTATGAGCCTATGACTCATATGCTTTCACTCATGCCATGTTAGTGAATAAGCCCAAAGGGCAGGGTGGGTGTGTGGTGGTCTCCACTTATGCAAATGAGGAAATAGGCCCACAGAGGGTGCAGGTGCAAGTGGGAACTGTGGAGAGGGATTGTCCATACTTTCCCAGGTTTAATTACGTGTCAGTCCACAGAGCTCAATGGCACAGAAGAGGAGCTGGGCCCCTCATGGTCATGGTGCAGCCAACACGTACAAACAGGCCAGCTTTCCACCCCCATTAGGTACTGAAGAGACAGTGACCAATCAGATATGCTGGGGAGACTTCCCAGTGAAGAGGCCATTGGCCTTGCCCTGGGAAGATGAGTAACAGTTTTTCAGGAGGAAAAAGCAGGAAAGGACAGCCTGGTGGAGGACAGCAAGCACTCAGGTCAGAGGGTGACGGTATGAGCAATGGCGGGTCCAGTGTGGCCAGAGCCAAGGGTGCTGATGCCCACAAGAAAAGGAAGGGAAGGCCAGGGTCCCCATTCCACAGGTAAGGCCACTGAGGCAGCTCGGGGAGGGCGAGCTCAAATTTGAACTCCAGGCTCAGGAGAGTGCCTGCATTTCATTCTTCTGGTCTGCTGCTCTGCTCCCCACAAGTGTTCACATTCCCAGAGGGCTGGGGATGTGGCCGGGGGAGCCTGTGGCATGGACAGGATCTGAGGGCTAAAGTGAAGAGAGGACAGCCCAGAAGCCCGGTGACATCTGAGTCATTCCCAACATTCTATTCTATTTGCTTATTTTAAATTTGGGGTAAAATTTTAAAAACCGAAAAAACATAAATTTTGCATTTTAGCTGTCTTTATACGGTTCAGTGGCATTAAGTATGCTCCTGTGGTTGTGCAGCCATCACCACCATCCATCTCCTGACTTCCGACTTTTTTTTTTTTTTTTTGCAACAGAGTCTTGCTTTGTTGCCAGGTTGGAGTGCAGTGGTGTGACCTCGTCTCACTGCAACCTCTGCCTACCGGTTCATGCAATTCCCCTTCCTCAGCCTCCGGAGTAGCCAGGACTACAGGCATGCACCACCACACCTGGCTAATTCCTTTTTTGTAATTTAGTAGAGAGAGGGTTTCACCATGTAGGCCAGGATGGTTTCCATCTCCTGATCTGTCGTGATCTGCCTGCCTCGGCCTCCCAAAGTGCTGGTATTACAGACATAAGCCACCGTGCCTGGCTCTCCTGACCTCTTTCATCCTCCAAAACTGAAACTGAAACTCTGTGCCCACCACTTCATTTGCTTTTCAGAACCTTCTAGAGTACCTCCTCTTTGCCAGGAAATGGTGCAGATGTAGACCTTTAAGAGACACAGATGAGGCCGGGCGCGGTGGCTCAAGCCTGTAATCCCAGCACTTTGGGAGGCCGAGGCGGGTGGATCACGAGGTCAAGAGATCGAGACCATCCTGGTCAACATGGTGAAACCCCGTCTCTACTAAAAATACAAAAACATTAGCTGGGCATGGTCACGCGTGCCTGTAATCCCAGCTACTCAGGAGGCTGAGGCAGGAGAATTGCCTTA